GAGGGGGAGAGAGAGAGGAGAGGTGGGGGGGAAAGGGATGGAGGGACACAGAGACGGACAGAAGGATGGACAGACATAATCATATATAATTTAGAGAGAATAAGCAAAAACCCAAAGAGCTGGATCCAACTTCACTCTAGATATTCAAGATATAAAAATTCTTCGCCAACAAAATAAAATTAAGCTCCTCACCAAAGTTTTGCTGATACCACTGCCAGCTCTCATAGCGGCGACCTCTCTGTTGCTCATCTTTGAGACCCTCTTCGCCAAACTGGTCGTACCTTTTCCGCAATTCCTCATCCTTCAGGACTTCATACGCCCGATTGATCTTTATGAATTCATCATGAGCTTCAGGCTTATCCTGCAAAAAGTCACATCCAACAATGAGTTGAAGTATCAGCGAAATATCCACACAAGTCATTCATTTGCTTCCCCACATACAATGACTGGCGTCAGGTTTGCATTTATTGCTGTACAGATATCTACACTACTGATTTAAATTATTTTGATGCCAGTACATTTCTGTTATGAAATATTATTTCACAGAAGAGACTGTCTAAATTCACAGGCCAAGAAAGATGGACCTTCATATGCATGTATCATTTTACTCTATATAAGTAAACAGCTTTTATTTCATTTTCATCACAAAACATACTGCTTTCATTGAAGTTTGGGGAAGGGGGGGGGGTCATGTCATAAGTACATATTAGCATAACAATAGTTAAATTTAAGCAATAAAAGGAGAATTTCAGTACATCGAAAGGTGTGTATTATTCTTTACTATTATTCTTATTTCATTCTCACACCCAGAAACCTACTATATACTTTAAAATCTGTTTAAATTTATGCATACAATGAGTTCAGAAAAAGCCCTTCTGAGAAATTTTCAAGAATGTCGGTTAAGCAAACTTAACTTTCTTATTTCTCCTGCAACCTGCCACTAAAGGCATCTCATACTCACGGCATTTTTGTCTGGATGCTTGGAGATAGCAAGCTTTTTGAAGGCCTTGCGTATCTCTTTGACTGAGGCTCCCTTGTCTACTCCTAACAAAGCATAGAAGTCCTCTCCAGCTAGGGTGACGTACACAAGTGCCAGGAGTACGAGAGCTTGGTGACATAAATTCACCATTGTTCCAGTGTTGGTGAGTATTATAACAATTATCAATACGTGTTCACTTTTACTTTTTGTTCGAAGAAGCGTAACAAGAAATAATAAACTGAAGAATGATCTATCGCTGATGTTCTTTGTCCCCCTCCTTTTCAGAGCATTTCAGCTCAACTTCTGTAATACAGACAGTACTTCAAGCATCCGTTTGTAGTGATCCTAATCCTGACAGTCTAAGCAAAGAAGAGACACTTCCTCATAAAATAAAGTTGAATTTTTTGTCTGCATCAATCCATTTATTTCACTTTCCCTTCAGTGGACCTCTCCCTCTTGAACAGTAATCGCTAGCCCAGGGCAGGAATACAACGGAGCTTCCTCTCGAGTTGAGCACCACCTGTCAATGAGAACAAGGGAAAGCTTACAAAGTTAGAAATAACTAGAGAAACGTGTGTGTATAAATGTTGGAATGTAATAAGCTGACACCCCCCCCCTCCCCCCGAACAGAGAGTTTTTAGTTTTAGTAAGCGTTTTACGGCACTAGCAACGCAATATAAGGTCATATATAAGTGTCGAAGGTTAGAGGTGTTACAAGAGAGTAACAAACACGACAAAGAAGGAGGAGAGATAAGGACGATGGATATTGTTAGGAAAGAATCAAACCACACCAGAGCACCCGCTAACCACCCACCCTGAACAAAGAAATAAATATATACCTTTTTAAAACTACGATGAATGAAAAAGTAGCCTCCTAATACGGACAGGTAAAGAAACCTCAACACTACTACAGAACATACTGAAACTTAACTTCAATCAAATGCCATGATTCACTTGAAAAACATAAATAAGGTATATTAGGTCTAGGGCCTAGATCTAGAATCTATATTCTGAAAGCAAAAGTAGGAGTGCTAGACTGGAAGGGGAAGACTTGTTTAGTTTTAAGCGGTTTTACGGCGCTCGAAACTGAAGGCATAAAAAGTCATATATGAGCGCCAGAAGATAAGAGGTGTTACAAGAGAGTAACAAACATTTTTTTAAAACTTTTAAAAAGGAGGGGATATAAGGACGATAGATGTTTGATAGGAAAGAAGAAGCAAACCACACCACAGCACCCGTCAACCACCCACAGGAAAACTTGACAGATGATGGAAACAGGACATAGACATAGTAGACACATGGCTTGGAACCAAAATAACAGGCAGAGGTGTCAATGGCTCATGGCAAGAGACAGAATGTTGGAAAGGACTTCCGTAACCAGCAGCCACCCCAACAAACAAAAATGAAGGACAGAGAGCTGACCCTTACCTCAAGCCTAACCTAACCCAAGACTTAACCCTAACCTTTACACCCTCTATTTCGTAGACATGAAGTTGATGAAGCTATAGCGAGCACCTAGCACACCTCTGTGATCGGCCCAAATACAGAGATCATGACGTATTTCTGCCATCTATTTTTGTTGTCTTCCAGGGCATCCCTCGCCAGTTGACTAGATCTCACCGTGACTGGCCCGCTTTGCTGCTTAGCGCATGATGGGCTACGTCACTAGGTTTCAAAGCTGACTGCTTAGGATGTGTGTGTGTACGCATGTGAGTGTGTGTGTTTGTGTGTGTGAGTGGGGAGGAATTCCATAATGAGGATAACAATTTAGGCCTGTATTACGAAAAACATGAAGCTACCGCGAGCACCTAGCACCTCTGTGACAGGCCCAAATATAGATCTAGATGACGCATTTCCGCCATCTGTTTATGTTGTCTTCCGGGGTTTCCCCCAAGACTCTTGGGTTTCCCTCACTAGATCTAGATCTAGTAACTGTTGACTAGATCTAGATTTCGCCATGATTGGGGTTTTTTTGGTATTAATTTGTGATCTTTTACAAACTAAACAATATAAACAATCTCAGCAATTCACGTTCAATGGTTTTTTGCACCTTCTCAAAGTTGTACACACATACCATACACACACACAAGTGCATGCGGACACACACACACACTCACAAGAAGGACTTCCCTAACGAGCAACCACCCCAACAAACACAATAAAGAAGAGACCTACTTACTCTAACCCTTACCCAACCAACCCCCGCCCCTCCTAATCGACCCTACCCTTTCCCCGAACCCTCCTCTATATATACTCACTCTATTCTCTGTTTGTTAGGCCCTAGGTCGCTCGTTACGGAGTTCTTCCCTATAATACATGATATATTAGATCTTCCCTATGATACATATATTAGATCTAGATTGTCTAGATCTAGGCCAAGCCTTCACCACAAGAGATCTCGTTTACACTCAAAAACTAAACAACAAAAAAATGTGCGGTGTTGTGGCCGGGTTGCAGTTGGCTTGGCTGAGTTGCAGTTGTCAGCAGAATATAATAAATTTTGCACGAACTGAAGAACCATCCGGCTCGTCAAGAGAAGGGTAACGCAGTTTCTTTTCTTTCGAAGCAGTTTTTATCCTTGACCAATATATTTCACAAATTCACCTTTTCTCAGCAGTTTTCCCTCTGTAAACAGTGAGTGCACAATCTGCACATGTACACACACACACCACACACGGTGACACACGTATACACACACTGGACGACAAACAGGTCATGACCCAAGCGGAAGCAATACGTGTACTAAGCATGCGCACGCACTAAATCTAATCGGAAATTTCCGGACACCTCTTGTTTATTCGCCCTGGGTTGTTTTTTTCCTGAAGAAAGTAAGAGAACAAACAGAGAGAAGAGGACAAGTTTCTTGTTTGTTTGTTTTGGTAATTGTTTTACGGCGCTCACAAGTGCATCAGGTCATAAGAGAGCGTGGAACACAATAAACATTTTTAGTTGGAAGGAAATATTGAATTTTGCCTGGGTGGCGGCCGAAGCCTACCCGTATCGATTTAATTAAGATCACCTAGGAATCTTTCACGTGCGCAACTTGCTCACGGGACCTCTGAGATTTTTCGCCTTCGCCCGAGAAGGCTTCGTGTAGATCTTTCCTACCCGAAGACCATGTGTGTGGCTGAAAGACAGTAGCAAGAAGGAGCCAAGGAGTAGCAGTAGAAAGTGTGCAGAAAGTGTCAGGAGCACATGGAGGGGGCAAAAGAGATTTGG